GATGAATCTGGCCAGGAAAACCTACTGTACATGTACATGTGAATGCGTTTTGGGGGGATTTCTTCCCAAGGACTTACCATTATGTAGGCCTACACTGTAATGGTTCGAATCAGCAGATGGGATCCGCAAGAAAGTTCATCCATGATTACGGTAGGTTGGCACACATAAACATATGTAGCAGGCCCAGTCACATACACTTAATTAACAAGGTCAAGATGTTGCTTCAATCGTGGTCAGTTCACCCACCGCTGCTGGTACATGGTGTACTGCCAGCTTAACTTCGAATTCTTATCAAATGGTGAAGAGCAGGAGCCACTGTTGAATACTAACGATGGTGTTGGCATGGCATAGCAGGCCGCTCCGTCCACTCCCGCAAGACAACGACGAGGCCAAGGCCAGTTTAGTCCAAAGATGTGCGACGCCATGTACCTTTTCTTGCCTCCATGCTTTAGTTTCGTCTGCACAAGGCACGGGTACAACATGTGGCCCGCGAGGGCGCCCTCTACATTTGAATGCAAGACGATACGAAGTTTAACTAACCTGCACAAAACAAAGAAAGCTCCACCAACCATCACGACCATTCATTCAAATCTTGATTTGGGAAGACAAGTGAAGGTTGTCAAAGATTGTATTGTATAATTATGCAGACACGTGCGGACAACAAAATGGCTGAAGCCTGCTGAGTCAGGTTTATTAGGTTTTTATGATCGTATGATGTAGGATTGGATGAAAATTCAAAACTGTGTTACATTTGGAACGGAATGACCTTTTGACAAATTTAGGTTTATCGTATTTCAAGGCAAAAATAAAGGTTCATTCCAGCCAGGATCTTATGTCGGGCCCTATAACCATACGTATAAATTCGTATAAATGCGGATAGGCTATTGAATCATCCCCCCCACGTGCACACACACCCACTTCACACTTTTTTGTGATGAGCAAACAAATAAAGAGGATCGAGAAGAATTTTCAGGATTTCCCAATGACTAAAATGCTTGCAATATCAATAAAAAGGAAAGCAATTTTATTCATTTTTATTTATTTCAAAGAAAATCACCAACAGCGACAAGCCGCCAATTACAGGGAAATTTTAAAAAGCTATAAATAAACAATTCTACTGTAAGATTCTGTATGAATTTACAGATGTGCATCTTTATCATGAACATCGCCCCCTACACAGTGTGTTCCCCACTTTTTTCTATGGCCGGGCAAGTCGTTCCCCCCCACCTTTTCCCATCCCACATCCCTCCACTTCCCAAAACAGAGTAACGCCACTGCCTATAACCATGGAGCAAGGACACGGAAGGAGTTCGAACTACCCAACTACCCGGGCTACAAGATCTGGCCACCTGCCGTTTTCTGGCATGCGCAGTATTATGTCCATAACCAGAGCGCAGCGAGCGCTTACTGTTACACAACCATAAAACCCTGTGTACCCTATAGATCTTTTTCACCGACGTGACTAAAAGAAAACAATACCACCATGTGTGGACCGCCTATGCCACGGTGATCACCTGTAGGGCAGATTCACGTACAAACACTGCATGCTTGACTAGTTTATCTTGAATGGGCAGATTACCATCACAACACTATCCTCTCATTACTATCACAACACATCATAGGTCCAGCACGATCGGACATCACAGGAAAAAGGTTCATTATCGCCACCGGTAATCAGCATCCTTCAAATTCTGTGCACTGAAATAGATACAGGAAATTGAATATTCATGATTATATTCACCCTTATCGGTGCAGCCGGCCTAAGCCTGAGAGTGCATTGAGGTCATTTGGCGCTTGGATAACAAATCACGATTGGTCAGAAGTTATAACGAAGTCTGACGTCAACTCCCAGTGTGAGCGCTTTACACAAACCCTCAACTTGGCCATCGATAAATAATTTCCTACAGGCAAGATAAAACTGCACTCTTGCGACAAACGCCCTGGATGTCTGCAAGAATCAAAACTCTCATACGCGATAGACATAATGTCTTTCATCGTGGTGATCCTCTAAACTGGAAAAGACAAGAAATAAGATCAAATCTTTCATCGCTAAAGCGAAAATAGAATATTGCTCCATGCGAGTACAACGTTTAAAGCGAAGCAATCCTGCAGCATGGTATCGGGAAATCCGTGTCCTTACTGGAGGCCAGCAGAGCCACGTACCAATACATGTAACTGGTATTTCATCTGATGACCATTTTAACATCACTAACAACATCAACAATTTTTTTATCTCCCAGTCCTCTGATCTGAGCCCCCTCCATTTGAGTGCACTGCCCGCATATCTCCTGACGCCGACTCCAGGTCCTGTAGTGTACCCATGGGAAGTGCACAATGCAATGGCGAAGGTCCGACAAAAGACCTCTGACGGTCCGGACGGGATATCCGCACACATACTCCGTGAGTTTTCAGTTGAACTTGCCGTTCCACTAAGCCACATCATCAACTTGTCGTTCCAAAAAGGAATTGTCCCGGACGAGTGGAAACGTGCTATTGTCCCGATCCCCCAAAACAACCCCCGTCTGTTGACAAACTTGGACCTATTTCCTTAACGGACCACTTCGCGAATATAGATGGGCCCTGCAAGATCTTATCCCTCAGTCTAAGCTCATAGAAAATCAGTTTGGCATCAGGAAATCACTCTCTACTAGTCACTGCCCAATTAACACGCTCCATCCTATCTATGTTGATGCGGAAAAACCCAAAATTGTATCTTCTATAATCCTTACGGATTACACAAAGCTTTTGACAGAATTGACCATACAATTGCTGTTTTAAAATTAATTGATCTCGGAGTGAGGAGTAACATTATCCCCAGGATTTGTAACTTTTTGTGCTCTCGTCAACAGCGTGTCCGTTATCATTCAACCTGTTCGAACTGGTTAACTCTAAAAGCTGGGGTTCCACAGGGAACGAGATTGGGACCAATAATTTGTTTAGCAATGATTAATGATGCGTGTCCATCTCACCAAATGCACACTCTTAAGTATGTTGGTGATTTAACACTAGTTGAATGCCGGCAAGTTAATCAATGTTCGAGTATGCAACTCGCAGTTAACAATCTTGTTCAGTGGTCTGATCAAAACAAAATGAAATTGAATCCTACAAAATGTAAGAAAATGAATGTTTCCTTTATGAGAAACCATTCCAACTCGATGTAGTTATTAATGACCATAATCTTACTAAAAGTTCCTAGGCGTTCATATCCAAAATGATCTAAAATGGGATTCACAGGTAAAATATATCGAAAAACGTGCCAATGGAAAACTCGATATGTTAAGCGTGTTGAATCGTTAGGCCTATGGCCTTCCATCAGAGGACTTACCGTGTATGTAGGATACACCCAGCCCCTCACTGAACATTCAGCGCATTGTTTTAGGACAAAGATATGCAAATTACCTTGACGCTCTCTCCCAATGTTTCCTTCAATCCTTGAAGGACCGCAGGTTATCACTTTGTTTCTCATTTATTGATAAGACCCTAAAACACACCGCCCAATTTCAAAATTATCTATCCGCCGCGCAGAACCCTAAGTCACACAGCCAAAATACCGAAATTTCACTGTAAAACCAACATAATGAAAACTAGCGACTTGCCGCACCTTGTTCGTTTATTAAATGCTGGCTGATTTTATTACGTAATTTTTTTAAGCCTTCATACTTGTTTTCTCGTAATTTTAAAGGCAATTTTAGAGGTTTTCCCCAATCTTAAACGTTTTATATTGTTTTATATTTATAAGTAGATAGCAAAACCTCCACTAGTTTGAATGATTTATGTTTATTTTTTTTATATATGTAATACTAAATGTGTCCACTTTTATGTCAGTTCACATGCAATTCGGCCTAGTGCGGCGAGATTTGGATGTTTTAAATAAACCAATATGAATGCTTTTGTTGCTGTTTGGTGTGATCTCGTGACATGAAATTCAATGCTTGTGTAAGGTTGTGTGCCCTACAATGTTCATGGGCAGTTATTGCCCTCTCGAACGCTTTCTTCTGAAGTTATTTTCAGAATGGCAAGCTATTTATAAGATTTTTCTGTCTTATTTGAATCATATTTACTGTATTACATTTATACAAAAATGTATTGCATGAGGTCTTATGATTACTCCTTGTGATGAAATAGCGGATTTTGTTCCTTGTGAATTTAGCTTTCCAGTGGTGGTCGACATGCTGTTGATCAGTCTTCGCCAAATTCATACCAAGTCTTTGAAAACTGATGTTTAGGAGGGCCAAATATAAAAACTACAAACACAGCATGGATAATGGAAAAGTGTATCCAAAAAGACCAATTTATTCATGGTAAGAAAAGAAGGTCGAACGTACGTTAGGGATTTTTCTTTCTCCATTTCCTGGTCACGGCAATCCGTTCTAGTTAATTCCACCAAAATACTTCAAAATATCGTTAGGATATTATTCGCCCTACTTTCCCGACTATGCTGCTGGCAGTAATCGAGCACATTTTGGAATGTTTTCTATTATTCGTCTGACTGGGCGGAGACCCTCATCAAGCACTTTGAAGTGCCAGAGATGCAACTCTGTGTCCTTCCTCCATGCTATAACAAAGTGTCATGGATGCTGCATTGCAGGCCCGGTGTACTATTCTACATGTACACTGTATGCACCCGTGAGGCAACCGTGTGAAAGGAGCTGGCCAAAAGTAGGCTGACCAATAGCTAAGGGATTGGACGGCTGGAACACAATTAAATAGACCTTCACATTTTGAAAAACGAACAAATTATGCCTTTCAAATATACTGTCTGCATAAGATGAAGTTTCATAAAGACCGCCACTCGGGTACCATGAGGGTGAAGTTTTTGGAAGCACATCCGGTACCCTGTGGTCTCAAAGAAAAATAATTTGCTATAGCATCAAAGAAAAACCTCAGGGGTCAAGTCCATTTTTTTTACATACAGTGGGGCAAGGGTGCAGTCTTTTCAGAAAAGTAATGCCATCCCCTTATTGTCCTCTAAAAGAAAAAGAAAAACAAACGAGCCAAAATGTTATCATGCATATATTTTTATCTTCTCCATACCATCTGCTACAAAGCCGTTCCCCTCAAACTTTAAAATGCAATTGGATGTCACTATAAATGTTAGCATTCCCACTTATACTGTACCACAAAATGGAAAATTAACAAAGTAACGAAGTTCAATAAACAGTGTTGAGATGAAAGCCTATATAACAGGGATTGTGTTTTGTTTGGGCTCTGAAATTGCACAAAAGAATGAACAACAGACCAAAGTACTTTTTTTCAGTAACACAAAACGTAGTGTCTCAGTGTATCGCCGATGAAGCTCAGCATTCCATTATCACTTTTAGAAGTCAGTATGGCACATATTCTTTGGTCTTAGAGAATTCTGGTTTCTAATATTCGATTACATCATTAAATTAATGTTTCAGGTTTTCCAGTATAAGAGTCCACTTCTATTTTAGAACTGTCTGACTGTATTTTTGAAAATGTACTCATTTTGATTTGACCAACAGCTTTTATATTGCCATGAAAGACATGATTCTAAAGCTATCTAAATCTAGCTTAATGGTAACATTTGGGGAATGTCGGCTTATCACACAGCCTTCTGCAATCTACAAATTTCTATCACCTTTTTGTTTACAGCCATGATGATGAAAAGTAATGAACATAATTTCACTGATCCATTTGATTTGTAGTAGGTTGCCCAATGAATTCTAAAAATGAATGTAAAACATGAATTATTCAGAGGAAGTACATGTATAAACATCTGTAATGCATGTTTACAAAGGTTGATAGATTAAAACTTTGGACAAAATATAGGCTGTGTGTTTATGCCTTCAGACTAGCATATTTTCCCTCATTAATTTCTTTTAAGTGCTACAATGTGGGCACTTAGGATACACAGTTGTGTTTTTTTGCTTTTTATGTACAAAATCGAAACTGCCAAATTTAAACTCTTGCTAAAATAAACAAAATTGAGGGATGGTTTTGATCAAAATGAAGAACTTCTCATTTTGACCTCTGACATTTCGGTGACCTTATTGGCCAGGGGCAGACAGACTCTTATCCATAAACTTCCTCTTGACAAAGCACATCCACCATTTACTGGGCTTGTTAGTTTCAGGCTCAAATACCCTCTCAACAATACGTTGCCCAGTCTCTTGCCGAATCTGTGTCAGGTAGGACCGCATGGAATCTAGCAAAGAAATGCATGAAAAGAAACCAGAAATACAGACATAAGTAACTACATTCTATCACCCCTAACAGTGTTTAAAACACAATCCTACACTTTTGAATACTTAAAGAAGCAATGGTGAATCTAATGGCAAGTACATGTACATGTATGGAATAACAGCTCCAAACACAAAAGATGTCAATGTAAAAAATTTACACATTTGGTGAAATATTTGACTGACTGCATAAATTCTCAATCTCAAACAAAATAAATTTTACTTAATTTAACACATTTTTACTGAGTTATGTAAGAATTGATGCAGATAAATATGTACAAAAGCCTACCAGCTTCAGCCTTGCTTGAAGGCTTTTGATACATTGCATTCAGTGGAAACAAAGGTTCTCCTGGCACAGCAAAGTTTGCAATAGCCAAACTATGCATTTCTTTTTTACCACTTTCCTTAGATGAGCACTGGAGTAGAGAAAAACAAAACAATAAATAAGCAGATATTAGAAATTCACAATGGCATCTTATAAATCAGACAACACCAAGAAAAATTGTCTCATATGTAATATTCCTAGATTGACTTCTAGTAATATATATGATTGTAATATTACATGTCAATGTCTTTTCAAATTCAAAACATTTTGATTTGAGTGCTCAAACTTTCAAACTACTCCAACTGATAAATCAAAATCTACGTTGATAGAGAGTTAAAAGATATCAAACTTTTCCTTTTGTATATAACGTTCACACCAAACACTTCAGCAACTTGGCAATGCTAAACCAAGGCTTTGTGGGAATTTTACTTTGAATGAAAAAACTCTGAACACAAAATTACCTTCTGCAGCTTCTTGAGACACTCGGTAATGTAAAGTGTTACATAGATGAGTACGCGATCTGCTTCACTCTGCAACAGATATTAAGATAAATAATTTTATCCCATTGAACTGTGGAAAAGTGGAGGAGATGAGGGTTAGTTGGAATACAGGTAAGTTCAAACACTGAAATTTTCTTCCACACTCAAAATTGTCACAATTTGACAAGATTTCCTCAATGTTAGCTGTACATTCACAGGCTGTACTGAGCATCACTATAAGGGTTTTACATGAAACATTCCTGGAAAGGTGAAAATGAGTCTGGAGAAAATCATCAGAAGAAAAAAACAAAGATTCACAAGTTTCTAATTGTTAATGTTCATCTTCAGATAACAGCCTGAAAAGTACAGCCAACTTAAGAGGTTTAAACTTGTTACACTTCACCTCTTTTCGTAAAGAGAAATTTTGCACATTTTCTGGCATTAAGTTGACTATCCTCTACTGTAACAGTACATGACTGCAAAAAGAACAAGTTTTATAAACATTAATATGTCTTGAGGCAATAGGAATGTAGCAATTGCCAATAGTACAGCAATAACGAGTGTTCCCAAAAGAGAAAACCAGAAATCACACCTTGATTTCATATGTTCTGAAGAAGACATTGGCCTTGAAGTATTGAAGTGCTTCATCAATAACATCAGGTCCTCCATTACCTTGAATTCAGCAAGAACATAGAAATATCAACTAAGGGACAATAAACTTTATCAATACATAAATCATATTCCAACGACCCTCCTTTTCACAATGCTTGTAAACCCCAGACTCAGGTGTTTGCCTGTCAACAATTTACCAGTGACCACTCGATAGTAGGTAACAGGATAAAGCCAATTGATTACTGGGCCCAATTTAACCACAGAATTCCGCACAAGTTTAAAATCAACATTCTGCATTTACTGGTACATCCTTGCACAAAAATTCTGTTCCTGTCAAGTAAACACGGAAGCCTTAAGGAGGGCGGTTTATGAATGTGCATGACTACTTTTCATTGCTAATCTGTAAAATATGCCACCCACAAACACAGAATGTTCAGCTATAGTTGAAGGCAATTTTCCACCAACTTTAAGCAGACCCATTAAACATACATGTAGGCCCTAGTTCCACCTGATGCTTAAACCACGGTCATGCTACCCACTTTTGTTTTGCCAATGGGTAGGGATTGAAAATAGTCGGTATGTAAGTCTAACATCATGGGAGAGGCAAGAAGATTTTCTTTTCATTTCTAGTCATCCCTGGAAGACATAGTCAAACAGATCTTACCAGGAGGGCTTGGCCCTTTGAACTTGGTGTTGATTGGAAGAAGTGCCATGTTGCCTAAACTTGTAGGAGCACTCAGTGATGAATGGTACGCCTGAAATACAATATGACAATTTGAAATACATGTACATGTACGTGTATGCACATGCATCAACAGACTCATAGAACTAGCTTTACTGTAAAAGAAAACTGGTCCATGATTTCAATTGAACCATGATGTTTAAATCCAAAGTCAAGGTATGAATGAACTACATGTAAACACATAACAATGGAGGTGCTGTGTAGGAAACTTTGACAATTAATCAACATAATTTGGAATTTTTGTCATTTCCTGGAAGCCTCATGTGACACACAAAGGCTTCTTCTAGCATGTCTAGCAGGATTGTTTGATTAAAATCATGAAATACTGGTATATCACTCAAAATAAAAGTCAGCGAAATCATTTCAAAAAATCATGTTTTAAACTCAATGCTATGAAACCTCTTCTGTCAGATATTTGAAAAAAACAAATACATATACATGTACACTGTAGATGAATTTAATAAAGTAGTTCTTCTAAAAAATCAAAATACTCTACAACCAACATTAGCTCATTTTGAGTGCTACCATTCATGTACTCTGTTACTTGTAATCTCTGTTACTTGTAATCATTCATGCACTCTCTGTTACTTGTAATCATTCACATTCCTCTTCAATTATTGAAATTCTCAAATGGAAAGGATTCTGATTACCTGTACATGTATCTGTACATGATATAGCCTTGCTTTTATTCTTTTTCACTTAGAAAATACATGTTAAGGTGGCATATCTTGCTGAATTACCCATCACAGCATATGGACAGTGTACATGTACACGTTCACATGTGTGAATGCATGACATGTATGCAATACCTATGCTACATGTACGTATTATGATTTGCATTGGAGTGGACATTGGTTGATTGTAGTGTACATGTATGTCAAGCATTCAAAAATGCAGTGGAAGAAAACAGTACAATGAATTTAAGTACACATTTTGAAGCTTTGCTTTGAATGCTTCAAAGATATGTGGCCAAAAACAAGATTTGACATCACTGCATTTTCACTTCAGTCTAGAAACTGTGAAACAGCTTTGTTCATAAAATAGCTGGAACTACCGGTATATTCAAGATGGAGATTTCCTCTGTTGTCTGTGTCCACTTTGAGCCGTGATTTTGCAAAAAAATCTGCAAATCTAACTGTGAAAATCTTGTTAAACGAAGAATGGCGGATTCTGAATATTTCAAATACTGAGTAACTTTCTGGGTAACTTGATGGCACAATTTGGATCACGATTGGTCACAAGTCTTTAGTCCATACAGTTTGATTTAAAAGTTTCAGTTGTCACGGGATCTCATACAAACAGTCCAAAGACAATGATGCATCATTCTGTACTCCTGTTTTTCACACAGAAGCACAACTACATGTACATACATCTACATGTGCTGTACACTGTGCATTTTGACAGGTTGCCAGCCTCACTATTCATATGCACATTGCACACATTTTGTGTGGTCCTGTATCCTACTAGGGCCAAACAAAAAATTAGTTGTGTTTCCTGTTACACTGAAAAATAAATTAAGGTGGTTGGTTGGGTAAATTTTGTTTGTACTCTAAATTTGTATAGCCCAAGAAATTAGGGTCGGAAGATGGTCTGAAATATTTTTTGGAGGGGTGTGGTCTATTTGTAACAGGTACTAAGCCAGTGTCAGATTCATACTGTACATGTGCATGCCAGTATTACAAATCAGCACTGTGACTGAGTAGTAAAGCAGCTGTTTGTTGATAAACAAACACAGAAGAGCCGTCCATCTCCTGCCAAAAAAATTACGAAACCATGTACATGTACAGGACGATGTAGACAAAATTACCGGTAGGCTCAAGGCAAGGCACCATAAGTTTTTACATTTTATTGATTTGTCAAAAAAAAGATATAGGTTCCACATGTTTTTCTAGGTTGAGTCGGGTACCCGGAATAACAGCTATTTTTTTGTTTGGCCTAATAAAGCTAATTCAAATTTTTCATTTGTGGTTCCTTCATGCAAATTCAAGGGAGACATAGAGCGTGAAAGACAGTTAACACCTTATAATGTGTCTGGAACCCTTCAATGGGGAAACTAACAAGACATTTTAGAATGGGCAATTAGTTTTCCTTCTGCTTCTTAAATATTTCATCTCCAAAAAATCCTTCATAAATTATTTCCTAGCCTATTAATTTATGGAAACTGAGAATTACCCAACCAGAAAGAGAAATAAAGAGAAATACAATATTCATGATATTACAAAAACTGAAATCTCACTTCCAAAAATCTAAAAGGTTTTCATGTTGATCTTGGGATTCAGTATAAAAACAAACAAAGGTTGTCACCAATCTTTAGGAAAAGAGCAGGAGACCAACTAAAGTGGCATCAGTTACAATTTTTGAAATAATTAACAGGAATAATCAGCTTTTATTGGCAAAGGGGAAAAGTGGATTAAAAGGTTTGTGGTAGCACCATGCTCATACTCGTAACTGTACGTGGTTCTGAAAAGAACTGGAGGGGAATTTTCAGAACTACCACACTTGGAAATGTTGCAATAATACCATTTTGTATATGAAGCCAGATGTAAAAACTGAATTTGTTTACAGTTGTGTAAACAGTAAACATGGTTCCATCTCCCCTGCCAGCGAATGGTTGAGCTAATATAAAAACCATCAACCTGACGCATGCACACTCACACAGAGTGTTATGCATATGGAGTTCGAGGTGGGTTTGAGTCGTTATCAGGAGAATGAGAGGGTGGTGAGTAAAAAGTTCTAGTTTTTAAAAAAAGTCAGTCGTATGGTCTTAAAACCACAGGTAGCTAGATTCACAGACCCACACATTGGTGGCACTATTCCTGATATGCTATTTTTTAAGTCTTTGTGTGACCATCGTTTTTGACCTTGATTAAAACCAAAGGGGTACTTGTATGATGAATGAAAATGTGATTTGCAAACTCTACTGACCTTAATTGACTTTAAAAACTTTGAATTCACAGTAAAATTTTATGCTAAAAATATTTATTTGATCCACAACAGGACAGGGTGATGCTCACAGAAATTCTAATTTCAGGCAAATATGATTGAATATCCTTATGGGTACCTTGATTACCTGTGGTACAAGGTTAAAAAGAAAAGAAAACTGGAACATGTGGTGGTTACTATTACTAATTACTGTGCATGTTATCATTATCAGTTCAAATCTATCGTTACACTGAAAGCCTCCCCCTGGTTTGGGAGAAATTCTGGTTCACTCTCCTTCCCACAAATTCCAGTTCCACACTGTTCACAAGATACACATACTTAAAATTGTACATTATTTCTCAATATAATAGTTACCGCTAATGGGTCAACAAAATGTTTCCAACATGTAACTGTCCCATAATTCAATATTTCCTAATCTGATCTGAACCAAACTTTGTATGTTTTCATTTTAGGCCCTAAACACTATCATCTCTCAAAACATGGACAATGAAATTCGGCCTCCTTCTGAGAGTTTGAAAACAGGGAGACACTGAAACGTCTCCCTAAAAGCCAATGTCTCCCTAATGCTGAAAAATTTACCACAAAATGTCTCCCAACTAACCTATTTGTAAACATACAGTATCTATAAACTGTCTAAAGATGCCTAAAAGGTCACAAGTATTTGCATATCAAAATGAATATAAGCCTCATCGCAAATACTGCATGAGTGATTTTGTATAATGGTAGAAAGGCATTGTGGGAAGGCAAAAGGCTCCAAATGTTTGCTCCTTTTTCCTTCCCACAATGCCTTTCTACCATTGTGTGAATGTATATATTTGGCACACATATATTTCATCATAACTTCTGTTTACATGTAAATGCCTTATGGAGGTGGGAGACCTATCAATCACTTGACAGCAAATTCAAAGCCTTCTAAAAAGACAATATAAGAATACTAATTCAAACATTGTGAAATTTCAATGAATCTAGCTAGCTTAAAAGACTCATATAAAGATTAAGTCATACATGTCGTTTCCTTTCAGAACTGTCAGGTTTATACAAACCAGATAGCTACATGTATGTACAGTTACATATGTACAAACCTAACAGTTCTGGAAGTAGCCCTACATGTAGACTTGACTCAAGTCGGGATCTCTGTGACGTCTTCGTTTCTGCTTTGGATACATATGACTGCGTGCCGTTACTTGCTTCGTGCCCTCGTGTCCACTTATTACAATGAGTTCAGTTTAGAAATCCTGACAAGACGAATCTGCCATTTGTTTGTACACACTGAATAGGCTCATCTATCAAAAGTAGTAGCGGCCAACCACAAAGCCGGATTTGTTTTTAAGTCATTCATACCTGCATTATAATGAACGAGTCTACAAGTCTGACTACATGTACTTTGATTGGTGAAAATTCCATATACATTATGCAAGATCATGTCGTTCATATGCAATTATGAATAACTACATATCACCGACGGGGGTCTGATTGACTTATCCATCAAGTCGGACTTTCTGACTGGTGACATTGACACAAGTTGTACAATAACGGCTATCCAATGAGGGCGCCTAAGGGTTATGCAAGCTGCCAGGCCGAGAGCGACAACCATGTATGATATACCCCCAGAACTGTGGGGTCCGACTACCCCCAGAACTGTGGGGTCCGACGTCCGCTCCGTTCATGGGAGAGGGGTGGACATCGGACCCCACAGTTCTGGGGGTAGTCAGACCCCACAGTTCTGGGGGTAGTCAGACTCCACAGTTCTGGGGGTACAGGTATGTATGATGCACATGTATGTAGTGCGTACCGTACCGGCTAAAGGGATGGATGACAAGGGAAGAGCAACATAAGTCTGACTTGATTCAAGTCCGACTTGATTCAAGTCCAGCCTACATGTCATTATGCAAGTTGAACTACATGTATATAGTAGGCCCAGGCCTATTAAGTACCTGTAATAACATCGTAGAGGTTGACCTCCACTACAAATCTGTCAAAAGAATTGTTGCCATCAATACGGACTCATACCAGGCCAAACCGAACCATTCTACAAGACAACAGGTGGCAATATCCTTCATCAAACCATCCGCACATAAGGACAGCTACAAGTTCTCATTATTTCCAAGAACTTTTGCAGAATGGAAGAAATTACCAGCAGAAATACGTCATGCACCAAGTATTGCAACTGTCAAGTCGAAACTCTCAATATAGCGTAGCCTAGGTGATACATATATCATCAGAGAGGCTCACTTTACGTAAATATCTGCTCAGTCACTTCGCGCCTGCATTACATCCCTGATGAGATTATGCAGTATTCTACCAGAACCAGAATAACGTTACTAGGCCTACGTCAGTACGTGTACATCATGCAATGATAACTACTAAGTAATATAATGTCATAAATTTAATGCTAATGCAAGCACCCACTTCCTAAGAATCTTGATTGCGATTTAGGCCCAGTACATGGAAACAAGTTAGTTGTGTAATTCATCAAATAATCTCACCGGCATTTTGAACTATCGGTCTTCAGCTTCCTCGTCACAATGTTTCAAGCTGACAAGTATTTATGGCACACCCGTATACTGAGCTGAGCCGAGCAATGAGGAAGTGAAGTGCACCACACCACTTCCTTATACGTACCACGTGATCACGGGTTCCCATCATGCCCTTGTCAGTATGGCCGTTTGCCAATATTCGACCTCGTCTTCATTTAGGCTACGTCTGTTTTTCTTACAAGCTTGTCAGCTCAACAGAAAGTCGGATAGTGCGACGGAAAAGATCAAATGAGATTCAAAACGCAAAACAATACTTTGATTTACCTTGCACATTTCTTGCCTCCAATCAGGGACTGGTTTAAGAGAAGAAGCCACTAAGGAGATAAAGTCGAGTATTGGAAAACGATTGGGCCAGTTTTTATTCCAAGATGGCTGCCTCCATTGTAACACATGGGATGAACATGGTTAGGGACTAACGGTCGTGACTGTATAATTGCCACGCCAGGTCCCTAATTTCGCCACCTATTGTCAAGTCTAATTGGTTTTCACCGAAAGTGGCGAAATATGGGACTTGGCGACCGTACAGACTGCAGTCACCAACGCTAGGCTTAGGCCTACTCAAAGTGTCTCATTTTTCTAAGTTAGGCCTTAATCCATCATTCCATTACAAGGACGTGCACTAGGCAGGGGCGTAGCAAAGGCATTTTCCTTTGGGGGTGTACCAGAATCAATTTGCCACCTTATAACTTTTTTGCCAACTTTGTGTCGTGAACATTGTAAAATGGAAATCCTGGGTCTCTTACTATATTTCATGCTTTAGGGGAAATCTGACACCCAATGTATCTTGTTTATTTTAATATTTACCATTGCATTTGATTCATTGTTTTGGTGACTTTTTATCTGATTTACATCACATCAGCCTTTTTTCAAAACTCTTACTATTTTCACAGTGAGAGGTCTGGCGGTATGAAGAAATGTCTTGCAGAATAAAGAACAAGAAATTTGGTAATGTAGCCTTCTAATTCCTCCAAGTTCTCTCTGTAAAAATCATAAATGTTTTAGGAATTTGGTTAAAACAACAAAAAAATTACCTCAGTAACCTTGTTCCTCCACCAATTAAAATGATCTCAAAACTTCACTGGTTCTATTACAATCTTACCTTGTCATTGCATGTATATTGAAATTGGCTTTTCAAGCGGACATGCTAATGAAATGGGTAATTATCTAGCACAAATTAAGTCTAAAAATGGTGAGGCAGCTGTCTGATCTTGGTGCTGATTTTTACGTGCTTTAGGAAGAAGGGAAGTACATTTTTGCAACCTAGACTTCCATAGTTGTTACAAGATGCTCATATTGTTTAGCTCCCCTACCAAAAATAAACTTTGGGTTCTCTAGGCTATCTATCCTTGAACAGAAGTGGAAGGATTTTTGACTGTCTCTGTGACTGTTACATAAACAATAATTATGATTAAAGGATCCATGCTTTGACCAAATTGGCTTTGGGTATGCCTGAAAACATGATCAAAATACACTGCACAGCAAAGTATGATTTTTATGTAATGTATAGTTTTCTCACTAAAAGTAATTATTTGTTTCAGATCTGTAAATTTCACATTTTTGTCTGGACAGTGCTCAACACCGGGACAGCCTAAAAGATGCCACGTTATGCACAACTGGTTGTGGGCCCTGCTGGTAGTGGAAAGGTGAAGAAAAAATAAATCTAAAATGTGCCATTACAAGTGCATGCACAGAAATCACTTTTTGAAATAGTTGGAAAAGCTGAAGAGAAAACAGAATTGTCTGACAATACATGTCGTGGCAAATAACTCGATTGTAGCAGTGAAAGTAAAATATGTGAGTTCATTTCTACTTTTCACTCCTCTTCTGAATCTAGTCAATGCCCTACTTAATGGTGTGCAATGTCTTACATTTAAAGAGATACTTTTTTTCAGCTGGTCTTGAAAGATGAAAATTCTTTTATTCTTTCAGTCTACTTACTGCAGCAATATGTTAAGGCATTGTGAGAACATCCGTCGTGCAGCACATGTCGTAAATCTGGATCCCGCTGCCGAGTATTTTGACTATGATCCCATAGCAGGTAAAACAGGAAAATTATGATAACATTCTGGTATGAAAAATGTGATTTACCAAAAGAAATGAGTTCATAACCACTTTGGTTTTTTTTTCAATCATGAAAAACAGATGTACTTGGACATTGTTTGACATTTCACAAGCAGGTTTTAAAAAGGTCTTCCCATATACAGCATTTTAAAGCTGTGTATTACATTGTGGAAAACTCAGGTCCGGTCAAGTTTTAATCTGTTCATCTTTCTGTTTTGGTAAATCTGCTAGATATTAAAGAACTGATTGAAGTTGATGATGTCATGGCAGATGACGAGCTGAGGTTTGGACCAAATGGTGGCTTGGTGTTTTGTATGGAGTGAGTGACAAAATAAGAGAAGTGACCTTTTTTCTGTTTCTAAATAACGTTATATATTTGCAGTTAATGGTGGACTGAAATGCAGTCACTAGTGTAGTTGCCACTTTTCTCTGCAAAGTTTCAATACCAGATGCTCCATGTATCAAGTGTCTTTAATTTTCGCCATCTAGTCAAGCAGAGCAAAGAAACTGCATTTTTTGTTGATACATAAACATGCACTCTGAACGTATACAAACTATTTGTTCATTGGTTAATATGATACCCACAGGTATTTTGGGCAAAATCTTGATTGGCTGAAGGAGCAGTTAGGAGATGTTGAGGATGATTACCTTATTTTTGATTGCCCAGGTAGGAAAAACATTTTTCTTAATGTGGTATACTTGTTTGTGAGATATACACGAATCTCTAGTTGTCGAAACTCAAGTTAATGAAATCAGATGTACAGCCTAGGTCCATGTGTAGCCACAGTACACATTTAGACTCAGACTTACTTCACCTAATTTGCTCTTTGCTTGGCTGCAGAGATCAGACCTTCTTCAATTCATATCGCCAATGTCAACTGAAATGTGCAATTTAGAATACTGATTTCAAAATTAGTGTTTCTGAGACAATTTGCTTGCAGTGCATCAAAATACATTGAAGTAATCAATTAATGAATTCTGACAAAAAGTTCTACAAAGTAACACATTATAAGCACTTGGACCATCTTAGTCTGAATTATAAGCAACAGTTTGCAAATCATGCTGTCATCCCTATGTCATCTTGCCTTGTAGGTCAGATAGAATTGTACACTCACATACCGGTCATGAAGCAGTTAGTGCAGACTCTACAGAGTTGGGATTTTAGAATCTGTGCTCTGTTTCTGATTGACTCCCAGTTCATGGTCGACACAAGCAAGTTTTTCTCTGGTAATATGTCTTTCTTGCATTAAACTTAGGTGTATCTCGTCTTATAACCACTCCAAAACCAATTCATTCATTGAGTAAAACTTCTCTTGTAAATCATACTGAATTGTTAGCCTGCAAACATCTCTCCTTTCTTTGAGAAAGATTGTTATATTCTTTTACTTTGTTCAACAGACCTTTTATGGTTGATGTTTTCTCCATAAACAGGTATTATGGCTGCTCTTTCTACAATGGTAAACCTTGAAATTCCACACATCAATGTCATGTCAAAGATGGACCTACTTGAGAAGAAGGCAAAGAAAGATATTGAGAAGTAAATTTCTCTGCTTTATTGAATATGTATGAAATTGATTAAATGTTAAATTGTGCTTACTCAATGAAATGACCAAATTCTGCCTTTTTTCAAAATCATCAATAACTAATTGTGGATTTGTGGAATTGTAAAAGAACATCCAAATCTATTGGAACCTCAAGTTCATTTGTTAGTAAATTTCATAAGAATATCATCATCTGTACACTTTCTGAAAAGCAATATTTCTCATTTTTGGGTCATGTCAACCGATGAGATCATTTCTTAATATATAAGTTTACTCTTCTTTCCAGATTTCTGGATCCGGACCCACAACTTCTGTTGGCAGAAACACAAAGTCTCACTCCCAAGTTCCAGAAGTTAAATGCTGCCTTTGCTAACTTGGTATGTGTTGCC